AAAAGCCTATATATATTCAGTTTATGATATTTACCTACAAGATTGAGACACACAGTTTTCTTTTTTAACACAAATATGTTTTAATATACACACAACAATATAATTTACAATAACAGTTATTGCAAATAGTTATTACAAACAATGATTTATAAACAAAAGTTTCACAAACTTACAAGCAATATAAAGTCTTCTTTCTTGTCTGGAACTTCTTTGATACCTTATCGAAGATTCACGATGAGCGAGTTGATTACGAGTTGACGTAGGTATAATTCACTTAACAGGAAGCTAGCTAGCTTTGTTCTTCGTTATTTACCAACCACACACGCCGAGTTTTCCACGATGAATTTATATAATGTTTTCGTACAAATACTAATGTCTGATGAGAATCCACTGAAGTTAAATGATTTGTAATGTTAGACCTTTGTAAGTGCTCCTGGTCAAATATCTGAAGTTTTCCGATTGATACGCGTTATAACAATCACAGTTATAGCTTCCGAAGTTTATAGCTCACTGACTATAGCAAACTAATAATAGATACTCTTCTCTGGTGCGTCGCGTTGGTTATCTTTATAGGCGTGTGGAGGCTTTCTCGAAATTTCAGTCTTAAGTGCCACCCAGTGGCACAGCGGTATGTCTGCGGACTTACAACGCTAAAAACCTGGTTTCGATACCAGTGGTGATCAAGCACAGGTAGCTCTTGTGTAGCTTTGCGCATAATTAAAAACAAACAAACAGTTTTACATAACAATACAAAGCTACATTTAAGCGTTTACATACATACATATATTGTTGATTCTTGGTCTCGAGAATCTTCTACATCTTTGGAGAATAGGCGAGAGTTGTGCAATACATATCTAACAGTATAAGCTGTGTACGTTTATAAATATAAATTTACTCTAAACAAACGATGATAGTAAAATAAATATATAATAACAAATCCGTCATAAACGGAATCAGGTTAAAATTGTTTTTATTTCACAAGAAGCTTCAAAAAACAATATATTCAATAAAAAGTATTCTAAGATAATCTTTTTAGAAAAAAGTTGCGAAGAGGATCTTTCCTTGTTGATTTTCATTACATTTTGATGAAGTTAGATGAATTAAGCCACCATAGCGAACCTTAATAGCATAAGGAAAAAGCAAGCATTTTAAATTCTGAACCTCATTAAATTTCGTGTAAATATGAGCACAGTAAGGACATTTGTGGCACAGAAAAAATAGCATGGAAAACTGTTTTAAAACTAAGAACAGTTAACACCATTAATGAAAGAAATCTTTAGGTAATATGTAAAAAAAAATTGCATTGCTTTGGAATGGTGTTCAAAATGCTGGTAAACTATAGCTGAACTAAGTATAAAAATATTAAATAGAGCTAGTGTTCAATTCTAAGAATGTTCTGGTTTTTTCTTTTGGAAACAATAATTCTGGAAATGCTTTTATAAAAGGACAAAAATAAAATGTTCTAATATGAACTTTAAGTGAGCCTCGAATCGTTATGTTCGCACCTTTTTATAAATGAAAACTTTTTTAAAATTGTATACAGCATGACTTACACTGAAAAATGCCTTTTTTTTTACTTGTATTGCATTAGCTGTTCGATATGGAAATACTTACTATACCTCTACCAGGTACTCTAAAACTACCAAAGACCGCCATGAGTTTTGGAGCTCATGTACCCGCTAGTAAACGTCCATGTTTTGTTGTTATATATTTTTCGTAATTCAAACTTTCAGTTGTCCCTATACCAAATGGCATATCCACATTAAGATCTTTTAGTGAAAGAAAAGAATTTCAAGTTGCACCAATTTACTGTTTTTCGCGGAAAATATAAAACAAAATGGTAATTTTCAACCAACGTGTCATTTTTCTAATTTTATGAGATAGAAAAAAAAACAATGAGCGTTTTCACTAAATAAAATATTGAACTGATACATCTACCGCAATGCAGTAATATCATGTTTGGACGAACGTTGTGGAAATAGTCGTAACTTTTAATTTAGTTCGTATATTTTTCTGTTGTGATAATTTGCCTTCTGAATGATCACTGACTCAATATTATATATTTAACTATAACGAAAATTTATAGTAGCAAAAATAAATCATATCTGTAAATAATAGCTATGAAAAAGGTTAATAAAATAGTAACGATAAAAATATTTGAAAAATGTTTTGATATGTGACTAGTTTGATAAAATTTAAATTACATTTTAAATCCATCATTATTATTATTAACTATTAAATATATTGATTATAGCCACTAGTGGGAACGCGCACTCTGTATCAAGGAGAACACAGTTCTTAAATGGCTAACGCTGAATATGGGATAGTATTGTTAACATATAGAAACTTGTAGAATTTCTACCCAAAATAACCATTTAAACTGTCTACAGAGACTAAATTATAATTATAAAAACCCACTAGTTGCCTAACAACAGCAACATAATGTCATAAAAAGTTGATGTGGTTGAAAGGAGAGGTTGACGGCTAGTATTATTCATAAAAATTATCTAAAAAAGTAGTGAATATTAAAACATCTATTTCGTATTAGTCATTTTCGTGGTTTGTTTTTACGATTTGTATCCTTAATAGCTCAGTTGGTAGTGTAGTGTCCTTGTTACCCAAAAGTTCTGTGTTCAAGCCGTAGACCTGGAGTTTTTTTACTTGCTAATGTTTATTAGAAAGTTTAGTTTCATTGATTCTTAATACGAATTAAATTAAAAATAACAATATATATGTGTTATATATATATGAGAGTTTCGTTAGACTTGTATTTTTCGTTTGGATTATGATAATTCAACACACTAACTGTTCATAAGCTTAGCGAAAACAAAAAGGATTATGGTAGAATGGCCTGTACTCTTAGATAGGTGAGTAGGAAGAACAATACCCAAAAAGTCCTGGGTTCAAGCCCTCGTCCCGGAGTTTATTTTCACTTTTTTACTTAAAATAATGTTTGTTAGTCATCAACGCTCTGTAATAATTGTAAGTTAAATTGAACTAATAACTGTAACTAATTATAATTAGAATTGAAAATCTTATTCTCTGTCTACTAAATACCTACAAACTTACCTGATTCTATTTAGCCCTTCACAAAGAACTACAAACTTACCTGATTCTATTTAGCCCTTCACAAAGAAACTACTTCCATACAAAACATTTTCTTTCGAAATGGCTACCCTATGCATTTCATGGAATGCCTAACTGATTTCTTTGTCAAACCACCTAAGATACCCACTGTACCCAAACTTCCCTTATACACCTGCTCCCTTATCACGAAACAGTTTAAAAAGTAATTTAACACTTACCATCCCCAAATTGACCAGAAACTCAATTTTAGACTAAAAACATTTTCCGCAACAACGATCGTTTGCTGTCCGCCCATTGTTCATATCTCGTCTACTTATACACGTGCGGAGACTGTAAGACTATATTCGCGAAACAAAACGTCACCTTAAAGTACAAGCACGTGAACATATGGCATATCTGGAAGAAAGGCTACAAACCCTCCCAATTCTGTTATCTATCAACGCAATACAGAAATAGAACATCCAATTTCTCTCTCCAACTTTAAAATTATTTCAACAGCCAAACATGATACTGAACTTCTAATAAAAGAAACGTTATATATAAAAACTTTTCTCCCGTCTCTAAATAACACACATTCTTCACTGGATTTAAACCTATTTTAACTTTTTCACTTGTGCCTCAGTTTTTGTTTTTTCGTGTTATTTTTATATATTCGATTTGTTTATTTATTATGTACATATTTCTGTTGTAATTACGAATATTATTTGTTTGTTTTGTAGATTACTGATGATGGAATTATAACGATTCCGAAACGTCTAATAAATGCTTCCTGTTATTACGCCCGTATTTTGTTTTATCATTAAATTGCAAATCTAAAACTAAAAATAAGCATATCTAAAAATTATTCATTGTTTATATTTAACTTAAAATGCACGTCATTATTAAAGAAAGAAAAAAAAACTTTTTAAATTATATTTAAAAAGAAAGTGCATGTACCGAGTTCTTTAGCCGTATGTACAAATGCTTGGTTGAAACATCACAAAAAAGTACACGGGAATTATTAGCGCTTATCCATTCTTAATTTCGAACAAGTAGGATAGAGGGAAGGCATCTAGTCAGCACCAACTCTTGGGCTACTCATATCTGACCAGATTTTGGGATGTGATCCTCATTCTTTGTGAACCCATGAACCCAAAATGTGGATCACGTTTTTGTAGCAACGGGGCACGAATCAATTCATCTGATTCACAAATAAGGAATGCTAATTACTACGCCACGTTCATAACCATATTAAAGTCCCAATAACACACGTTGATCAAAGTACAGATTGAACTGGACCTCACTTGAAGTTAGACTTCGAGATTAAACAATTTTCGGAATACTAACTTTATTTATTATTATGCTATTGTGCAGTTTGTAATGTGAAGAACTGAATAGTGGCCAATGACACCTTTTCTTCACTTCATGTATGCAGTGTATAATTTTTTCTCATAGTGACTACAAAGCACGTTCACACCAACAGTATGTTTGATATTCTTTGATAGATTGTTTAAGCAGAGTATTCATGATGAAACTTTATAGAATAGACGGCAACTGCCTGTTGTAGAGACACAAGTGTAGAGGACGACGCTTCGAAAGTCTTCCGCCTTTCGTCTTCTGGACCTGAAGGCAGTTGCCGTCCATTCTATAACGTTTCAGTATTTTTGATACTTTTCACTATGATATAGATCCAGCATATCGCTCTTTGGTTAACTTGTGTTCAGAGTTACTGATGAGGAGTGGCATTCTCGGAAACTAGGACAACCCAATAACACACGTTGATCAAAGCATAGATTGAAATATCAGAATACTAAGTTTTTTTATTATTAAAGTACATTTATAATTATGTGACAACAATCCAGTGTAGAGCGTTTTTTTGTTGTTGTTAAACAACAGTGTTCGGTTATTAAGTACTGATAGGTCGTTTTTTGTTTTCAAACCTAGGTTGTTGTTTTCTTTTCAGGCCAACCAATGGAGGAAGATATTGTTTAGGACAAAGAACCCGATATCTCTCTTGTAACACACATGTAAGTAAATGGAACGTCGAAGAATTTTTGAAGTCTATTTCATCAGTAAAATAGTTTAACAAGCAGGGGGTCCCTTTAGCCAGATGCATTTATTTAATATCTCATAAAACTGTTAAAACTCAGTAGTCATCATTAAAAAATGAAACATTAGTTCGTAGGACTCATGACAATTTGATAATATTTCAAAGTTTTTGAATATATATATATATATATACTTTTTAGATATTTTTAAATGTTGAAAAGTTAATCAATATAATGTAATTCGTGTAAATTTCTTTTACGTTTTATGTTACTAAAATATAGAAGAATAGAACATGTTCTACTTAATACTTTAAATTTTCAATTCAAATATTTATTGTCATTGTTACATTGATATCCAACCAAATAAATATTTCTCCTATAAAACAGTATATTTTGAGAATATTTAGAATAAAATCATAATATTTGAAATTTGGGTTTAAATAATGAAAATAATATTGTAGTTGAACTCCATATCGTTTTTATAGATTAATTAAAACATATTGTCTTCTGTGGATTAGAAGTTGTTGTTTTTTTCAGTTGTAACCAAATCTGTGTAAGGGTTCCTTTTAAATAAAATGCTTGCTCATAATCATATTATGTTGTTCCTTCAGGAATGCCCAGTAGACACACCAGAAGCCCGTGTTGAACAGTGTGCTACTTTCAACGGAAAGACTATGAATTTTGTTGGCCTACCCTCTAACGTCAAGTGGACTCCTTATTACCCAGAAAGTAAGAAATCATGAGGAATCTTTTGTTCCGATGAGATTAATGTTATTTTCGTCTTTTGTGCGATAGAAAGTTTATGTTTTCTCAAATGTTTATATAAGTTTAGGCTTTTCTTTTTCATGATGAGTAGGCTATCTGAAACATTGTTTGTTGGAGCATAACACTCTGGGTCGGCTCAAATTCTACAGTTCTTGCCTCCCAGTGGCACAGCGGTATGTATGCGGACTTATAACGCTAGGATCCGGGTTTCGATACCCGTGGTAGGCAGCGCACAGAAAGCCCATTGTGTAGCTTTGTGCTTAATCACAATCAAATAAATTTACAGTTCTTATTAATTAGATTTATGAATTTGTCTTGTTATTATCAAAACTAAATTCCGCTGTCATTTTTAGCTCGATCAGAAGCATGCAAACTTTATTGTCAAGTCACTGGGACTTCTCCTCATTTTCTCTTGGAAGATCGAGTTATAGACGGAACATCTTGTGAACTAGATACATTCGACGTGTGCGTAAACGGCGTATGCCAGGTACAGTTAAACATCTTATAGCGTATTTGATTTCATTTCGTTTTGTAAAAGAGTCTGTAAAATATACTTGTTAAGTAAGAATGTAGAACTGATTTGAATTTTCCTGTTTTTAAAACAATCAGTTCTTCAGCAATGATCCTCGAAAATGCTGCACCATATTGTTCTAACGTTATTTTTTATTTGCGGGTTGTTTTAAATCATCTGGTGAAAATAATTCAACGTCAAGTCCACATTAGGAAAAATCAGTTTATTTCCTCCTTACCGCTTCTTTACAGACTTTTACACTTTGTAATTCGTGATAGGCCTACGTTCACAAATGACTTTAAACTTCTCTAACAACAGTAATACTATTGAGGTACAATCAGTCCACTTACTTTTATACAATAGTGCGATAATTCTATTTTATCACAACTAACTTTCAAATCAACTATTACTACTACTACTATTCTCGAGGCTTCACTGACCTGTTCAAGAAAGTTCAAGGACTAATGTGCATTTAACGTCAAAATAACTTACCATAAAAATGAAGGATAAAAAGACACAACTCATTTCCACTAACAACCGACAACACTCTGTAATTAACAAAAAGCACAACATTACAAATATGTAATTTACAACAGTATTATAAACGGGAAGTATAGACTTAAATAATGCTGGGTTACTATATTATATAACTCCTTATGCCGGTGAAACGTGATTTTTAGGTCAGTAATTTGTGTGATATTACACCACAATAAGACTAATGATAATGTTTAAGAAATCATTATTTTCTGGCCTTATAAAGGTTTCCAGTACGGAAATATAAATGCATCTCGATAGCACACTTTGTATGCTTACGTTGCTGCCGACTAGGCTCTTCGCCAGTACTTGGAAACCATATAAGATTTGGTACTAATGAGTAGCGTACTTATTGTGGTGTAATGTCATACATACCACAGATTTAACATTAACTTTTCCCATCATTTCTACAATATTACTTACCATTAAAGCGGAATTTCAAGATAAGCCTAACACTAACATTGGTTTAAAATTCTGTTTGATCGAAGTCGTTCCAGTGCTCTATGAATTCAGTAACGGGTTATGTTGAAATAGTAAAACATACGTTCTATCTAAAGTTGGTGTAAAAACGGGTTAAGATATAAATATTCTCAATGCTAGCCAATATCGAACTTTTAGATTAAGTGCCACTTAAGTTAGTGAAAACATCACTTTCTGTGTTATTATACTATATTATTATTATATTAAATATCATATTCTATAGAACAAAAATGAAGATAATTGGGCTTCAGATAATGAGCTCTTTTGTTGTTATTATTAGAGTGCAGGTTGTGACCGTGTATTAAGTTCAAACAAAACATTGGACCGCTGTGGAATATGTGGAGGTGATAATTCCACGTGCAAGACTGTACACGGACACTACAATGAATTTAAGTATGGTAAGTTTATACTTTATAATTTTTCTCTACTTAGTCGTAAAAATAAAGATTGAAAATAGCTGTAAGCATATAAGAGAAAGAGTGAATGGAGACAAATTTAAGTAAAATCTTATTTCTTGTGATCCTTAGTGAATTATCTGTCGAAATAACCATATTGTATCGGGTTTGGTCATTAAATGAGAAATATTTCCAAATCACAAAAGGACCAGCGACAATTTTACATATTCTGTTTCTTCTAGGCTACAATTCGGTTGTCATGATTCCTGCCGGAGCAAGTAACATCGAAATTCTTCAGCATGGTTATCAAAACACTCATCAGGATGACAACTATTTAGGTAAATACTTTCTCTTTTCAGTATTTGAATAAATATTTATTAGTAAACTCCACTTTGTCTGCGGACTTACAATGCTAGAATCCGGGTTTCGATACCCGTGGTGGGCAGAGCACAGATAGCCCATTGTGTAGCTTTGTGCTTAATTACAAAACAAACAAACATTTGAACACAGAAATTTTTCAGCATCTTATGAAACTTTTCAACAGGAAGTTGCAAGTTATGTTTTTATTCCATAAATTTCTAATAATTGTATTGTTGTTTTCGCTGAAGGAAATTTACGTAATATGATGGGCTTGGCAATAATGTCTGGAACTGTTATAAGTATGGAAAACATGGACACTATATTCGCAACTACTGACAAGAAATCAAGAAGGTGAAATTCTGAAGATAAGAATAATCAGTATTTCCAGTTGAGATAAGGAGTGCGTTATTTAATGAATCCAATCCACGAGACAACGGATTCACTTATTGGAAGTCTTGTAACATGTTGGTTGACACAGATTCTACAGCGCTTGATTTAGTAATGAAAGATGGGAACTATCAACAGAGATGAAGAATAAAGAGGGACTGATATAAACATAATTTAACGGAAAATTATAGTATCTTTTGAACGTCAATTGCTGCATCCAGTGAAATTATAGTATCTTTGAACGTCAATTGCTGCAACCAGTAAAATTATAGTATCTTTTGAACGTCAATTGCTGCAACCAGTAAAATTATAGTATCTTTGAACGTCAATTGCTGCATCAAATTACACAGCAATTCATTCTCTTTAATACTTCTTTTTCATTATTGCATAGCTTAACATAACGTTATCATCCGCCATTGTTCTTGTTCAAACAACCTCAAAAACTCACGAGGCTAATAAAGTCGAGACACAGTCTATTGTTCGCTAGCTTATATGCTAATAGCTAAAAACTCCAAGATTTAGTCGCAAGGCTTAAGTGTCAAATTTAATTCTCAGCAGTTAATAATAATGTTTGGAAAGTAAAGTTTAGTTTTAATTGTGGTACTGGCTAATCATAGATAACCATTGTTTTTGTTTTTCTTTGTTTCTTTCTTTTTAAACATTGTGGACAGGATTTCCTGAAAATGAGTTGAGCATGAGAATTAACAATGTACAACAACATACAAATTCTATCTTCCAACACTGGTACCTGTTTGGTGTATCTCATTTTAGTATGTAAATAATAATACGTACAACGTAAATAGAAAGGTTTTCTTCAGCATAGCTGTTGTTCTACCACGAAAATTCCTCTTCCCAGTTATCACATTGTAACTTTAAGCTTTTATCTAAAGATAATGCAGTAAAAGATATACCACAATTTTTGTTTCCTTTCTAGATCAGATATCTAATATTCTAGATGTTATAACAATTTATGAGAAATGCAAGGTATTCACGTTTATGTTTAAAATAAATAATACATATCATGAAAAGATATCATATTCCAGAACATGTAACAATAATATTTTTGTTAGTACCTACACACACACACACACATATATATATATATCCAATTACAACTACAAAATCATCCGTATTCCCTTCTAAATGATTATTATTTCAAAAATAAATAATTTGTTGAACTAGTAGGTGTATATCATGCATATTGAAGGTATTTGACTCACATTATAATTACGCCAATTTTTGTGTTTACTTTTGTTCCGCCTGGTGGTCATGTTATCCTTTACCAGCAATCTGCGTGGCACAGGTTCGAATTCTGTCACCGAATATATACCCACGCTTGAAGAGTTGGTGATGGGTGGCCTTGACCAGTTGACTTTTCTCTAATTATAGTCGACTATTGCAAATAGCCCTCGAGTAGTATTGCGCATAATTCAACAAACACACAGACAAATACTTCTGTTTTGGCGGGATCGAATTCCATCGTCAAGGATTTTCGCTCTTTCAATCGCGAAGCTTTATAACGTAGTAGTCAATCCCACTATTGGTTGGTAAAAGAGTACCCTAAGAGTTGGCAGTGGGTAGTATTGACTAGCTGCCTTCTCTATAGTCTTATCACTTCAAGATTAGAAACGAAGAGCGTAAATAACTCTCATGTAGCTTTGTGCGAAAAAAAAACTTCTGTTCTACTGAGGTTTTTATGTAAAGTACTCACATTGGTCTCATTAAATTACTAAATTTCTTCCACTTATTATCTGTGCATTCTGGGTTCTTTACATAAGTCACTTTTGCTATTGCATTTCTTCTCCTAATGAAATGAATATTCAAGGCTATTCTATCAGTCGCCTGCCCTACTATATTTCTTGTCTATAATTGTATATCTAAGGTTACTTATGGTAGCTTATACACTAATGGACAACCTGGAATATACAACTATGAATGAAAGAAATACAACATTTCTAAAAACTTTTGTGGAAACCTAATATTAGTACACGAATTACAGTAGAGTAGATGACTAACGCGAAAATTCAACATTTAAATCACGAACAAATGAAATGATGTATTATAAGTGAAAACTTTAAATATGCAGACAATTAATGAGACAATTAGAGTATTCTAAGGTCCTTCTGTGAACAATCTTCAATATAAAGTCTATCATAGCTATAAATTAATTAGCAATGCATCCATGAAGATGCTTGCAATTCCGTATTTCTTCCATTAAAGATTTCCATATTCAGGATTGTGTATAGAGGTCTATTTGTTCACGCTTGCACGCTTTCGTCTTCTACATCATTGTATTTGTTGAATACACACTAATTTAAAGATTGTTTATTGTAGTCTTCAACATTACTGTATTTCTTATATATTTAGGTTGTATATTAAATGAACTTATTATATTTGTCATAGTGTATTTTATTTGTACAAACTGTGTGCGCAACTTAAAATACATTTATCCACATTTAGCTAAGTTAATCTAATTGTACTCACACGTTAGACCTAGTCCAATGTTACTTTTATTGTATATAGTACATCTAGAAATATACTACTTTGACTTTCCAGCACTTATGACAAGCAATCATGAATATCTCCTGAATGGTAACTTTACTGTCAGTCCTTTCAAGAAAATTATTAAGTTTTACGGCACAATACTGGAATACAGCGGGTCTGTGGCAGTAACTGAGCGCATCAACTCGTCCAAACCACTGAAGAGAGAGCTGTTTGTTCAGGTTAGAAATACCTATTATAACTGTGGATACCAGTATACATATAAAGTACAAAATGTTACGTTACAAAGGAAATTTATTTTATTCTTCCACGAATTTCTAAATTTCTCAAACTTTGGTATATGTATCTTATTTTGTTTTGAAAACCAGTAAGTTAGCTATAGTAACAAGATAACTGACCTCTTAATGTTCAAAACAGAATAAGATATTTAGTTGAACTTTGCAGTGTTCACAAATTTATAGCAGAATGCAAATATTTGTGTTTCAAGTACTAAAGAAAAGGAATATTATAATATAAAATAACTTTACTTATAAATTTATTTTATTATTACTTACGCCTGCAGTAGGTAATTCACAACAATACATGGAGGTTGATACGGATGAGTATTTTATTTATCTATGACAAGCTGAGGGACCCATTCTTTGTTCGGGTTATGAATTAAAAAATTGTGGAGGTAGATGCTATGACAAATAACAAAAAAAATCATAACTTCACAGAATTTATTTATAACATAACATATTATTACAGTATTCATTATTACCTCACTAAAATTTTTAAGCTTTAAGGAATTACTATGTATATACTTAAAACATGGTATACATTGTGAAATGGTCAGGGTGACTTCGTAGGAATAGATGGGTAGCGGCCAGATTAGTGGCGGTAGATGTGCTTTCTATTACCCACTTTCAACACACAGCTCGTGATTAATTAATTGATGATAATTGGCCGCAGAAGTGTCTTACTGGCCGAAGTTTAAAGGTCACAGGCCAAAGTAGGAAGTGGATATCATTAACAAACGACTCTTCATATCAGCCTTATGGTGGCTGTTGAAGCCAAACCTTCAGCTGAGTTTATGTATTATTGCAATAGTAGCGGCCACAATTTTTCATTGCAATCCTCCAGAAGTAGTACTAGCGCACTCTCTGAGATATATTAGATATTTGTGTACCCTTCCCAACAATGTTTTTATATTGTGTTATAGAAAATTTAATAACTTTGTTGTTGTTTTGTTGTAAGGACGTGACACAATCTATGAATATAATTAAAGTTAACCTTCGTCAAAGATAATAAATGCTCAATAACAACAATAATGAGGCGGAAGGGGTTGTAAACCCGCCAATAACATGCCCCTTGTTCCAAACCATCATTCTGCAAAGTTTGGCTGAGGTTGGCCTAGCAATCTAGGGGTAGTTAGATAACGGACAGACAAACAGCAGATTTGTATATTTTGTATATATAGATTAAAATCTGGAGTAGGTAATAAATGATATTTTTTAAGAAAATTGGTTCGGTTTTCACACTTTTAAATTTCTAGGTTTATTGTTATTGTAGACGGCCTGGTAGTTAAGGTACTCGACTCGAAATCTACGGGTCGCAGGATCAAAACCCGATGCTAAACATGCTCGTCCTTCCAGGTCGTGGGAGCGTTATAATTATTGGTCAATCCCACTATTTGTTGGTAAAGAGTAACACAATATTTGACGGTGAGTACTGCAGGCAGGTAGTCTTCGTTGTGGCCGGCAGTTTGAATTAGTAGCAGGGGCAGATAATCTCAGTAGATTTGCCACAAGTAAACCAACAACTGCTATAGATACAGCTAGGCCTAAAGTGACATATACATACTTTCCAACTTTTGTATTTTGAGCTTTCTTGGACGATTGCTACTTTAATAAATTGACATATTAAAGTTTCGTAAGATTTTATATATAGCATGCGAATGAAAACAAAGACAGGAATTTGGTTTGATAAATTTTCCTCGTCATTTAACAAGTGGTTAGAACGATGCTACTTAAATCAAGTTGAGCATTATCACAGGAAGAAACTATTTTGGAGAGGATAGCCTGTTTTAATACCGCTACTAAATTTTTCATACACATAACAGAAGTGTAAGTAATAGTATTACAATCATATTATTTACATTGGTTACTTGATGTTAAGAATACAAAATAAATAATAAAAATAGTAAAAATAATAATACAATAGAAAAGATAAACAATAATATGTAATTATAAAGTAAAAGTAAGCATGGTTGGTGCCAGCTAGTTCCCACCCTGTGGTCGATGGTTCGAAATTAGGGACGGCTTCACACTACCTGCTTTGCACATTGACAAACGTGAGTAATAGTACTTCACAAATGAAGAGAAGAGAGTCCGTGTGTAAATAAATTCGATTTTTTTTTCTTTAGGGATTCCTGGAGGAATAGCCATACTATTACTCAGTAATCTTAACATCTGACTTTTTTCATGTCGTGTTACTGTTCGTTTTCTGTAAGAAAATAAACCGTAGTGGCTATTGATGGAATGGATTTTAGTTATAGTGCCGATGTATATTAAAAATGTATATAACTTGATGAGCTTGTGTAACATATATAGTATTTAAATTTTAAAGGTGAGTAATTTTTCATATTTATAAGTTCAGATTAATCGCCGAAAAGTTTTCACATTATGGCTGTTATATTGTAAAAGTCACGTTTCTTTTTGTATTTAAAAAAATTGTTGAAGATAAGTGAATTTAAGGATCACAATGAAATAGCTTTTCGTCTTCGCTGTTTTAAACCCTAATTAATTATGTAGGCTGTCACAATAAAAATATATGATTCGGAGTAACTTGAGTGGTGAATTGATACAAGTGTTGAATCATGTATTCAGGTTCTCACTGTGGGAGATGTTCGGCCGCCCAATATTCGATTTCAGTACACTGTATCACTACGAGAAAAAAATAAGTATACCTGGGAGCTAGAAAGGAAGTGGTCAGATTGTTCCCGGGTGTGTGGAGGTGAGAAAAACCTAGCCTGAGGTGTAAACTTACGTTTAAGCAACCGATTGATATTTGATAATCATGGCAAAATGTTCTTTTTTTTTGTTTGGATGTGTTATCTGTTTATATATGACTTATTGTTTCACTCTAAGAATGTTCATTAAGTTATTTATTTTAACAATTAACTTAATTTGTTAAAGCATTTTAAAGTAAACGTGTTATTAGCGTGTAATAAGTTTTTCGTCTGTTTCCTTTTCTTTTTGTCCTCACCTCAGCAGGATATAATACAATCATTATCATATTATAAATACAGATCATGCTTTTAATGTTGGTAATTTAGTATCTGAGGCCCAAGCATCTAATTAACAGATCCGGGTTTCTACTATGAACATTTTGTTTCCCACGCTGGAGGTGAATGCAATCTTTTCTGAGAATGTACTTTTTCTGTCTTATAAATAGACGATACTTTTGTAGTCATCTTAGCATTTTTCATTTGTTAAAATCTTTATAACTAAATAAAACTAAAGACTACATTTAAAATGACTGTTAATTCCCTATAATTTATAATAAAAATTTATTTGGGATTCAGTATTTGCGTGATTGTAATGCTGATAAATGTATTTTAATTTGAGTTCAATACTTAACTATAATTAGTAAACAGTCCAAATCTTATCTCTCTCTCTAATGTAAATTATTTGTGATTGTTTACTGTAAACTGTTTCAGCATTATTCAGAACATAATAATACGAATGACTTACAGAGGACCATTTTTCTGCTGAAATAAATTACAAATTTCGAAATGGTACTTGAACTAGCACTAACGCAGACACACAAAATTTAATATGATACATAATAAGACATTTTGCGGAATCGTCTGGTGACAAGTACTCAAACTTAAATGGTAACTATAGGTATTAATAAGAAGTATTAATTAATATCAATAGGCCTAAAATATGGTATAAATATTACATTAGATGAAAATGTTTTGTTTTTTTTCACTTTCCCCTTAATCTGTCCATTTCAGAGTAAAAATGGAATACGAAATGAACAAATTGTGTCAAAAGATAACACACATTTGCTGTGATTTTTATCACAAATTTTAGACCTTTTGATTTCTAATCGTTTGCCACCTTTAAATATTGATATTAGTTTTGATTATAACTTTGGATCATTATTGCTTTAATGCATTGTAATATTTTTTATTAATAGTAAATACTTAGGAAAAACAGTTGCAATTAAAATCTTCTCAAAATATATCTTGAAGTTAAAGTGTCCAAAGTGACCAAAGTTGTAATGCATAAGTGCATCTGATTTATTTCGAAGGCCTATTCAAGGCAATATGTCATCTGTAATTCACGCTTACAGAGTACATATAAAATTAGATAGTAATATAAAAAAACATAATATATAAATGTATGTCTTGTGCATTATGATGAATGAAGATATTGAAAAAACATTAGTAGCTAACTGTTTTTAAAATAAGGTAACCATGGACCTATTTGTTTTTTTACAATTTCTACTATGTTTGTCTGAAAGCAATTCAGTCTCACCATTAATTCAACTGATGCCAGTTTTTATGTAAACTAATAGGTGAAATGTTTCGACTACCCATTTGTATAAGGATTTTCGACAACCTCAAAGTTAACGATAACCATTGTGATGTTACAAAGACGCCTTCTGCTCTAGTCAAAACTTGCAATGACCATTGTAAGATCAGGTAAAAAAAAGTGGTATACCGTATTTTGTATCGCTTATGGCCAACATGGTAGTCTTTTTTTTTTGCATGGATCTAGGGTTTTCTTGAATTAGTTTGTAAGTTTCTCTATTACGTTATCACTAATGATTGACATGTTTAAATGTCCACGGTAGGCATTAAATCAAAAACAAATATAAAAATAATGTGTTGCATAAACCGTTTTTAGTTGGTTATCAGACAAATGAAGTTTCACTGGTTCAGATTTGGGTTATAGTCAAATGTTTCTTGGAAAATTTAAGTAAGTACAATATTACTTTACTAGACGAAACTAGCAAATTCTTGGATAATTTATGTGGTTAAATCTTGAAATAATGTTAGAAACTGCTAAAATTGATATTATTGGAATATTTGTTTTTAATTTAAGCACATTATACTTGAGAAAGATATAACAAAATGGTGTTTTATGTGTTGTTAAAAGGTATTTTTAGCATATTAGGAGAAGATTTGGTAGTTCTTAATTACTCTTGTTTAACTCCGTATATTCTTATGTACTACTTCAAAGGTTTTTTTTCATACCTCTTTAATACACTGCGCAAACAATTAAACTAAATTCGGATTATTCATTTTAGCTATGACAAATCAAGCTTACTACTATAAAATCAAATCAGTCATTCACTGTAAGTACACTCTTATGAAAACCTGGCATATGATGATCAGTCTTAGTAATATTTAAGCAGCTTTTCTTTCCATATCCTTCAAATCTCTGATAGTATAAATAAACCAAAAGTTTTCACTGTAAGATTAATAAAGTACAGCTTATTTGTCGGTTAGTTGTATGTATTTGTCAGTTAAGTTAGAAATATTCTATACTTTCATAAGAATTTTTTTAGCCTTTTTTATGCATATATTTGTTGTTGTTTTTTATGACAAAACTGCTAAGGCTATCTTCCGCCGCCACTAAGTTTGAACTGCATACCACACTGAAGGCAATCATCCGCCAACTCCCACCGCCTACTCTTAAACTACTATTTACCAATGAATAATGGGATTGACATTGTGATCCTTTCCGGCTGAAATGGCGAGCATTTTCGACGCTGGGTTTCCATCCTGCTCCGCAGATTGTCATTCGAACGCGTAACCACCAAAAATTTATGCATGCGAATGGTTTGAAAAAGAGATTTTATAATATATTTTTTTTCTCTCGTTATTTTACTGATATTAATAAAGATACAAATCCACTTATAAAGTATTATTTTAGGAGTAGGTATTCTGTGTTTTCTTGCAACATCTCTTTACACATTAGAAATCTAGATCGATTTCCTTATTCTATTTATTTTACTTAGAATTCATATCAAACATCTAATCTCAGCAAGACCTCATTCATTAATTACCAGTGGAGTAGTCTCCCTCATAATTTGTCGCTATTTCAGATATGTGGTTCACATACCAGAAACTTGGTACCGAACCGTTTTCCGACTATCAATTCAACACACCCATCTTGTAGTTTGACAGACACAAGAGGTGCATTTTCTTTGATTACTTTTCACCCGGACAAAGTGACTAAACATTTTACATATATCCTTTGCTTATCATTTTCTTTCCTTTTCTTTATATTTTTTTTCAGCATTACTTGCCTCTACTACTGCTTGATATTTTTCTAATTGTTCAAGACATACACCTATGATTTGTCTTTCTTATTAAACTAGTTCACTCTGTTGTTCATGATATATATATATGTACATACCTATGGTTTGACTTATTCTCCACTTACAACAACTCCGCAGTCAAACTCACAAGTCACTTTTCATGCCAGTCACAACTTTACTTCAAATAAATCGAACAATAAACGGACAGCACACAATCAACTTGTTTTGAAATAATACATTCAAAAGAAGTCAAACATATGTACAAGAAAAACTCGGTACAATATTTGTCATCAAAGTTGTATCTAATGCTTTAAATAATTATATTTTCTTGTCAAAAGTCCGCACAGGCTAGATGAATTACCTTAGAACCCAACTGACAAGACGAATTATTTTTTCTCCACTTTTATCACAATAGTATCAGTGAAAAATTAACTTACCCCGTAAGTTACCACAGTTGTATCCAGAACTTCAAATAATTGTTTCCTTTTCGTCAAAGACCACAAATGCCGGTTCAATTACTTGAAAACATCCTTTGACAAAACGAATTATTCTTCTTATCTCTATTAAACTGTGAAACTCTAAAATTCGTCCATCACGGCTAAACTCACACGCAGTCTAACTTCACTTTCACTAACTTAATGTTTTCATATCATGTTTATATTTTGGAATTGTCCAAGGCCCCCGTAAGCACGAGGTCGGGTGCTGGTGCACAGGTAGCACGTGCCTCGTATTGGCCATATCTCTGAGCTTTAATTTACATTAATTGATTGCCCTACAGTTCTGTTATACAAATGAGACGAGAATGCTGGAAACTTGCCTATATGTGAATCAAAATACAAGCTCTTTTCCAAACCTGATGTTTTATTAGATTAGTTCTATAGTCACACACATTTTGTGTCAAATACATGTATGACTGGATCTTTCGTATTTCTCATTTATCTGTATATCAAGTCCCCGGTGGGTCAATGGTAAGTTTAATGGAATTACAAAGCTAAGACCCAGGATTCGATTACTCGCGGTGTACAGAGCGAAGATAGCACTTTGTGTAGCTTAGTGCTAAAGACAAAAAATACTATATAATAAATCCCATGCATATTAAGAAAACAAATCCGAATATATATATATATGTATATGAGTGTGCTTTATGTATTTGTATATATATATATATATATATGTATTATATAATACATATTTAATAGAATAGCAACAGCTGTACGAGAGCGATAAACAACACCACAAAAAAAAACACGATATAACAGATTTCACTTTAGCAAAAAACAAACCATACAAACCAAAAATGCACCAAATACAGAAACTACAATAAAGTACTATTTTGGAGGAAAATAACTGTAATAGTAGTTTGCAAGTAGCACAGGTAGGGGTAGGGGGATATCTCATCTCTTCAGTAGGCTATCCAATCACAGGTGAAAGACTATGTACTAATAACAGCAAGCCACCAGGTGGTCTAGCCTACAACTTACCACGAACAATAGACGTGTAGTAGGACTCAGATTATTTATTACTAGCTGGAGTACCCGTCTCCTGGACGGAAGTTACATAAATTCATGATGTATGAAAGGTTATCTTAAGACATGAGAAATTGCTTCCCTTATATGTAGTTGTAAAAAACGCACAAACATCATAAAAACTGTAAAACACAGAATGTGAAAACGCAATATTGCATGTATCTCCGCATGGACCCAACAAAACTTCATGCCAAATTTGGTGAAGATCCATCAACAGTAGTGATAAAAACACCCATAAAAACCCCAAAATGCAAAACTGAAAATTTGTATGTACCTCCCTACAAACCCAATGAACATCCATACCATATTTGGTGAACATTCATCCACAGAGGTGAGGTAGTGGTAAAAATCGCCTATACAAACCGCAAAACGCAAAATGCACTGCTGAAATTTGTTATGTATCTCCCCAATCAATCTCGATACCAAATTTGGTGAAGATCCATTTACAGGGAATGAAGTAATGGTAAAAACGCAAATATGCCCATAAAAATAGCAAAACTGAAAATTTGTATGTACTCCCTCATGGATCAAATGAACCTCCATATCAATTTTGTTGAAGATCCATCCACAACCAAGTAGTTATATGGACAAACAACAAACAGTACTACTATATTTATATAGCTTAAGGCGAGATTTATTTATCTATCTACACACTCGTCCCTCATTATAGGTATTTTATTCATCTGACATTATTGTCAATTTATTGTAACTTTGCCGCTGTCTGCTTTCTCGACAATATTTGTGGTTACCCGGAAAGCTCACTATTGCCACAGTAATATTGCACATACACATATATATACCATGAATAGCAAGAGCAATAGCAAAACCAGCACCTTGTGACTTCTTGAACCTTTTTGCAAGTTTGAATAGCAGTATTACAACTCAGAAGATTCTATTAAGCCAAGCGGTACTCACAGTAGCCACAACCATATCTCATAAACTATAGAAGCGCTCGAGAGAGAGGGCAGAAATACTGAAATTCGTCAAGTCATGAATCAGCGAGGCCAAGAAAGATGTAAATGTGATATATCCACTGGACAACATCAAGAGTATTGAGTGGGTCCAGGAAGATGACATTATATTAAACATAGTGCAGATTGGCAACAGAATGTGGAGTGAAATTCAGTACTGGTCAATGTAACTAAAGTCATGAAATGGATATGGTGAACAGAGACCAGCATTGATCATAGAAACAGATGCCTCAGTCAGGAAACTGGGAAGAAGCGAGAAACCGTGTGAAGAACTTACCATCTAGCGTTTGAATGGCAAAAAGGGATTATTCAGTTCATCCAGAGAAGACTTATCTAGTTTACCAGTAACAATTAAGACCATAACAAAATCATATTCCTATAAGCTCTCTAAATATCGTAACAAAATTTGAGACAAGTAATATTCTAGGACACAGTGACATCATTCGACAAGAAAGTGGGCCACCTTTGATGGCAAGGCACAGCCCTTGGACAACCTAGTACGATCTCAGAATATGAAATAGCATGTGGACTGAAGGAACAGGAATAGATATAACATAGGTTTCACTGGTCAACTGTAAGAATGGAGGAAAGAGGTTAAAACTATGAAAGTGGAGCAAACGTGAAAGTATGGGGGAAAAGACAAATGCTTTTTAAATCAAGTTGAATCGGGCGTTATTATTAGATAAATCATTTATCTTAACCCTAATATAGTGAATTATTATGGTGTGTTTACTATCCATTTTCTCCTTTAGCATTTTGTATGGTAGACTCTATATTTAACCATTATATGAACACTACTATAATGTGTTCTTGTCGGGTATTCTGTTATCTGTTTAGATTAGTCATGTTGTAAATTTTATTGATTTTTTTCATTTAAATATCGAATTTCAAACCTGATTTATTGCTTATAACATCTTCTGTATCACATTTGCATATCATATATGTATATATATATATATATATATATAATATTAACTTCAATATACAGTATATTGGAGAAATATACAAGGATATCTATTTGCTTTCCCAAACTTTATTTTTATCTAGTCTGAGCTTTAATACCTTATACTTCAGACTTCTTTTTCAGTTTTTATCTTATTAGAGTTATATGTTTTGTAGGTGGCGCATTACTGCTTCAACAATATGTTCCGTTCGGTGTGGATGGGGTACACAACAGCGAATTGTAAAATGTGTCCAAGAATTTACCGATGGCAAAACACAAGAAGTTAGCGATGAATTTTGTGAACATCTTGATACCAAACCAAGTGATACAGAGAAATGTGAAGGAAACTGTCCCAAGGCAGACTGGATGTTTCAAAAGTGGTCTTCAGTAAGTATACCGTGTTATTGGGTGAAAACAATATCAACATAATGTGAGTTTTAAGTCTCCCGTAATCGTTTCGTTAGTGGAGTTACGATTTTAAACACACAAGTCAAATCTATTATTTGTACCGTATGATCATGGTTGTGGTTCTGGTCATAAGACCTGAGAATGTCATATACTTACTGGACGTCTTTCTTCTTACTTAACGTGACTTAAAGATGTTTGCGAACGTTGTTACCGATAGTTACTAAAATGCTATTTTTTGGATTCATGCAGCCACCGCATGCGCAATACGAGTGTCCGTAGTTTTCCGCACATACCAGTGGCTCTTTTCTGGACATTTCCATAAATAGAAAACCAGAATTTTTCCTTGTTAGCAAGTCACTATATTGCTTTGCTTGCTCGAAAGCAAATTATTTTTCTTACAAGTTTATTTTGATTTATAATAACCTTTTTTTAAAAATAAGAGTAGTAATGATAGTATATGTAAGTATTGGTTGTTGGTTTGCCTGTTATTAGATGGCCGTAATACATACAGTGAACTAATTAGAGGTTCTTAATTCTATGCTCATCAGGTATGAGAAAGGTTTCTAATATGCTTAACAAAGCATATTTATTGAAATCTTTCCTAAGATATTGCCTTGATCTACATAGAACTTTGTGCTACCACATAGGGATTTTGCGTAATTTTTTAAGAATGTTATGTTTGTGGTTCTTAGAACGCTGTATGCTTAAGTGTTTATTGTGTTTAAAATTGTCTGTAATTTTGTTATGTGTGACTTGGCTACATTTAACCAATCGGACGAATGTAAGTCTTGTATATTTTAATTATGTTTTCTGTTCTTGCGCCCCTCGTTTTGCCAGTTTGACGTCGGACATAGTAGGCTTTTTATGTGTTTAATCCATTTTAATTTTGAGTCATAAGTTAGACCCAGAAATTTAGCTGATGTGGCTACCTGGGGAAGGGTTCCGTTTAAATGTAGTTTATGGTTTGTCTACTTGTTTTAATAGATGTTATGAATAATACCACTTTTATTTTAGGAGCATTAAAGTATATTCCTCATGTATTACAATAATTTTCTATTTTGCTTATACCTACTTGTAAGTTAGTTGCTGCTACAGCCGGAGTGTTTGAACTCTTCTATGTAACTACACAATTTGCGAACTGAGAGAGAAAATAGGAATTTTGATCTATTAGGGGAATTTCACTCACATAATGAATAGTAAAGGGCTAACTACCATTCCTTGCACTACACATGAACTTTTAATTTTCTGTTGCCAAGAAAGTTGGAAATACATCGAATAGTAGCACGTAGCGGTTTCATAAGGGACATTTGAAACCGTAATTTTTTCTGCTATATACGTCAAATACTTTCTATACGCTGAGAAAATCAGTGCATTCATTCTGATTATAGCTATTTATGACAAGTTCTTTAAGTCTTACTAGATGTCTAGATTTACGGAAACTGTCTTGTATATCCGGCAACTCTTAGATCAGTTCAAAGTAAGCGAATAATATTTTACTAATATTTTTTTCAAGTAGTTTGGTGATACTGCTAGTGAGGCTGATCGGTTTGTATCTTCCTGGTTTTCTTTCCGTCAAGAACATTAAAACATTTGCTAGCTTCCAAGCGGCTGACATATATCCAGATTTTCTTGAGAGATTAAAAATTGCTGTTAAATGCTCGTACGATCATGGAGAGCCTTTCTTGATCAGTATGTACTGTATATGATCCAGACCTGGGGTCTAATTTTTAAGCTTTATCATTGTGTTTTGTATTTCTGTGGTTTTGATTGTCTCTTTGAGTGTCTGCATTGTGACATCTTGTTCGGGTGTAGTTTCTATTTGATCCTCTTCGAGAGGGACTAGGAAGATGGGCATGAAGTTTTCTTTATTTGTGCTTACATAGATGTTAATCTTATTGTAAAAGCATTGATTAATTTTTGGCTCATTTGATGTTGTTAATATATGTTGTAGATGTCTTATAAAGGCCAATGTTTTTTGAGTATTTTGTTACGTATTAAAATTTCAAATGGCCTGAAATTGAGTTAACTGATAAATTTAAATCTAGTAGTTAAATTCGTACTTTGGATTTAGTAGATAGGTAAAAGCCGATATATAGTCAGTTTATGATGTTTGCCAACAAGATTGATAAACACAGTTTTCTTTTATACAAATACGTTTTAATATACACATAACAATACAATGTACAATAACAGTTATACAAATAGTTATTACAAACAATGATTTATAAAAAAAAGTTTCACAATCTTACAAGCAATATAAAGTCTTCCTTTTAGTCTGGGACTTCTTCGATATCTTATCGAGGGTTCACGATGAGCGAGTTGATTATGAGTTGACGTAGGTATAATTCACTTAACGGGAAGCTAGCTAGCTTTGTCCTTCGTTATTTATCAGCCACACACACACCGGGTTTTCCACCTGACGTTATGTAATGTTTTCGTAAAAATACTAATGTCCAATGAGAAACCGCTGAAGTTAAATGAGTTGTAATGTTTGAACTTTGTAAATGCTCCTGGTCAAATATCTGAAGTTTTCCAATTAATAAGTTATAGCTTCCAAAGTTTGTAGTACACTGACTATAGCAAACTAATAATAGATACTTTCTTTTGGCACGTCGCGTTGGTTATATTTATAGGCATGTGGAGGCTTTCTAGGAAATTCAGATTACGTAACAATACAAATTTAAGCGTTTAACTACATACATATATTGTTGATTCTTACTCTCTAGAATCTTCTACAACTTTGGAGAATAGTGGGAGTTTCGCAATATATATCTAACACTATAAGCCATGCATGTTTCTAAATGTAAATTTAATCTAAACAAACGTTGATATTAAAATAAATATATATTAACAAATTCGTTACAATTTTTATGGGCCTGAGCGTGTTATATGTAAGTGTTGTAAATGTATGTATGTTTTTAGCATTTCCTGTAAATCGTTTACAATTTGACCAGAAGATTTTTTGGATCTGTGTGTTTCGTTTTCAGCAGTAGTCGTCTCATTTGTCTGGTTTTATTA